ATGGGCGCCTTTACTTAGAAGCAGTTTGGCGATTTCTCCCTTAATATTACTATCAGGCTCTTTATTATTAAAAGAAAAGACTGAAAAATTATCAGAACATAGAGAGGGGAAATAATCTCGGACTCGGAAATATTCATGCTGATCCGAAGCAGTAAAATGCAATGCTGTTCTTCCGTAGTTATCACAAGCATTTATATCAGCATCATGTTGCAGAAGAGCTTCAACGATTTCTTTGTATTCTTTCCTAAGAGCAATATACAATAGCTCAGGATCATCTTCAACAATAGCTCCATTAGTTAAAAGTAGCTCGATCATTTTTAAATCACATTTTTAGTAGCATAAAATATTGGCGTTTTTCCAGTTTCGTCTTGAGTATTTAGTTTAGCTCCGTAGCTAATCAACAATTTAGCTATTTCTTCCTGTTTTTTTTGGCTGCATTATGTAAAGGTGTTAAACCTCCTTTAGTTGAATTGTGTAACATATTAATCTCAATATCATACTTTAATATGTCTTCCAGGGCCGGCCCTACCATAAGGCGAACGGAGCGGGCGGTCCAGGCGCCGGGTCTCGGGGGGCGCTCCGACTCGTTCCTTGGTGATAAAAAAGGAAAGAAAGCAAGCGTGTGGTTAGCATGTGATTAGATAGATAGAGACATATCATATTACATAATAATATGTAATGTTTTCGAATTTTGAATCGGAGAGGATGATGGTTGATCTTGGGTAGCAGCTTAAGCTATCTCCACTTGATGTTTCTGACAGAATTTGCAAATCAAAGCAGTGTCTCGGTGTTGGGCCAGTTGGCATACCGTTGGTTTTTCTAGCCTGGCAAAAGTCCTATGGTATTTCAGTTTTTAAAAATGGAGACAAATCAGACATTGAAAATTATCGAGCAATAACAAAGGTCTCCTTGGTAGCCAATGTTTTTGAAGGTATTGTTGCAGATAAAATCGCCCCACATTTTAAGAATGTCATTATCAATGGACAACATGGTTTCATGAAGGGATGATCCACCATAACAATGATCAAAATCCATGCTCGAGCATATAGGTACTTCATTCATACATATAAGGAATTCATTTGCATTTTATTACTATTTAATAGTCATAAGCAGGAGCTGAAACTCAGCAGGAGGTAGATCTTAGAGGTAGTTAGGGAGATGTGTGAGTTGTACTAGCCCAATGCTCTGGTTTCTTATTTAAAATTGGCAACCCACTTTTTTTACCTAATGACATAGGTAACTATTCCCTTACCGGCACGTTGGCGCTTTGATAAAGGATGACAGGACGCCCTACTCAAAGCCAAGCAACGTGGTGTCGGGATGGAGATTGGATGGGTGACCGCAGTAGTACGGGTCGAGTAGATCGCCCGCGCTGCCGCCAATCATCTAATCTGCAAGTATGAATGGGAAGGAGTAGAGTCCATACAATGAGATACAAAAAGCCTTTAAGGCTGCAGTGTTGAGTATGGACTCGAAAAGGTGAAAACAAACAACAACAACAATACTATTCCCTTTGTTTTCTTCAGTATAAGGGGTATAGGCACGTGACCGAACACAGTAAATGAGGCAAATAATTTATTGAATGTTAAGACATTTCTTATATCGGTGAATAGAGTATACGATTCACATTTAAAATAGGGGCGCCAAAGTAGGATCTCGCTCCATCCTAAAAGTAACCTCGGGCCGGCACTGATGTCTTCAACGACTTTCAAATATCCTTTTTCTGATAGCAGCATATAATAATTCTGGATTATTACTATACATATATAGTAAAACCATATTCTAGGAGAGCCTCAACAATTGGACAAATGTCCATACCCTTTTCCTCTACAGCCGCGCACCGCGATTTCAAGAGAGTTTCTGTTAGTTGCATTATTGATATCAGGACAATACTTCAAAACCTCTTCAACAATCAACAAAGAACCTATTCCAACAGCAAGTTGTAGTACGGATCTGTCAGTGTCCTGATTGTCAACTGCAGCTCCACATTCTAAGAGCAGTTTTATAACTGTTTTATGTCCGTTTCAATAGCAACATGAAGTGGGCTTAAATTATCCTTTGTGCTAGTATTAATATCAGCACCCCAATCCAGGAATAATTTCTCAGTTTCTACATTATATTTAATATAATAATTTTTTTTTTTTAATACATAATATAATTTACATCAGCTCCATGTGTTAAAAGTAATTCAGTTATTTCCATTTTCCTATATGCAGTACCTATTCAATACGAAGGGAGAAGGGGAACTTTTTGACTTTTTTGAAACGAAATTGCGTTACCGGTCACTTCCGGTTTAACAGGATGTTCCCATAACCTTTGACGTTCAAGTGCCTACCCGCGGTACCTTTCAACTTTTTCGGCATCAACAATCATTTTAAAAAAAAAATACGTGTCTGGCACAACTTGATCAGTATGCTGTAGAAAACAATGTATTCAAATACATATTGGTTGTAATCGACTGTTTTTCCAAGTACCTTTGGACGCGTCTCATTAAATCAAAACCTGCACCAGATGTTGCCAACGCCATGGCGGAGATATTCAAAACATCTGGAAGAATTTCGAAGAAAATTATTTCAGATAATGGAAAGGAGTATTACAATGCTCAATTTGTAAGTCTAATGAAGAAATATGGAATACATCATTATAGTTGGTTTAGTCCTTCGAAAGCATCGATTGCCGAGAGAGTGATTCGAACCATTAAAGAAAAGCTGTTCAAGCAATTTACATTGAATGGGAACCATAAATGGCTGGATTTATTACGGCCTATAACTGATGCCTATAATGATAGCAAACATGGCACGTTACATATAAAGCCGAGTAAAGTGAATAAAAAGAATGAGAAGGCGATACTTGATGCTGTCTGTCATATTAAAGTTGCCGGTAAGCAAAAGTTCAAGGTTGGTGACATTGTTCGCATAAGCAAGTATAAACATGTTTTTCAAATACGCTATACCCCAAACTGGACTACATAGCTCTTTGAAATAGTCAAAGTTCATATTACGAATCCAATAACGTACCTGTTGGAAGACTTGCAAGGTCAACCGATAAGCGGTGGATTTTACGAGGAAGAGCTACAGAAAACAAAACAGCCAGACGTATTTCTCGTGGAGCAAGTGCTACGAAAAAAAGGCAACAAAATTATTGGAAATATTTGGACAGTATGATTTTGAAAAGTCGAATGGAAATTGCTCAAGAGAAACGTCTACTAAACGAAGTTAGTTACCATGTGAACAATTTCAAGTTGATTCTGAGCCTAAGCGTCGCTCGAGGAATACTGCCAGCAGTCAAAATAGTAAACTCCATGCTAAACTTGCCCGAAGATCAAACTTGCATAACTCTAGCCGATTTCGACTGGTATGAATTCCTGGAAAAGTTATCCAAGATGGTGAATGAAACTGCTGCTGGCGTCAAAGACTCTGCTGTGTCTGGTCAACAACAGGCGTTATCCGAGAATTACACTCTTTGTGTCGGATAGTTTTTCGGTGAACAAGCTTTAACTCTAACATCGAATAATTGTGCATTGTGTTTTTGTTTGGACGATGTCAAACAAATTTTAACTGTTTGTCCTCTCATAAATTATAGATTAGAATAAGTCAAGGATTTAAATTTCATTGTATACTATCATGATTGCCTACAATATTTGAATGTAACTCACAATGTCAAAAACAGCAGCAATCTTTTGCAATCAATCATCAGCATGTGTAACTTGAACAAGTGTGAACGTAGCTGCTACTTTCTAGAACTTGCTACTATGAATCTAACCAAAATTGTTAGGGTTTTAGATAAGCTGGACGCGTGTTGTACCACCCCCAGATCAAATTAGTATTAGTATTAATAAATGACTATAAAAAACAGGATTGCTTTTTATTTTTTCACACTACAATAGCAACCTTTGAAGAGTCAAAATGTCCGAATATAGAATTACTGGTGGTGGTGGTGACGCCTGCTGCCATCATCAATCTTCCTGTTTAAGACAAGCTGCTACGTACTAGTTTAGAAACAGACGTGTACTTTTTACTTCGAGCACTTGAGCAAGAGCCCGCCACTAATGATTGGTTTTCTGCGCAAGCTGTGGAAAAATATGAAATTGGTGTCAAGTCTTGTAATCTTTTTCTGGCTAATTCCATCTCCTTGGAGGGCCTATGTGTGCTTATGAATCAGTATGGACTACATCAACAATTAAAACAGTATGGCGCTAAATATATGGGTGAAGATATTATTGCAAAATATATAGGTTACGATGAAGTTGACTAATTTCTATGCTGTTTTTCCAAATAAAAATTGTTTGCATTAAATTAACCATTGCACCAATTTATTGAGGATGTGTAAATGAATCTAAAATTCATTCAATTACTAACCATGATGGTGTCAAGTCAATCGTACTATGTTCTCTTGGTTGCCCTTGTGCAAAATAGTTTCTATGTACACAGACCGTACAATGTCCACAAAATGTCAATCGTGCTGGACTTTTCCGCAACGGATAACACAAGATCATGGACAGAAATGCATTATGAAATAATAGATAAGGGTCTTTTAGCAGTTTTTACGACTCGTATACCGTCGTCGTCATTGGCGTACCTGCGTTATAAGGTGAGGCTGCATTTTCATGATAAAACTATTGGAGATACCGAATGGAGAACTCTCATCAGAGAACCACAACAGCAGCAGCAAGAAGAAACATACAATAATTCTACTAGGACTTTATTAGACGACATCGCACCGAAATCCACTTTAAATGTAGTCATATTTATTGCCATTTGCTGCATAATATTATTATTGAATTTTCCGTACAATATTGGAATTGGATATTAATGTCAGAGTCAAACTCCAGAAAAATTGTAGCAAGTCCTACTTTTCCCTCTCGAGAAGCGATGTGAAGTGCAGTGAATCCATTTTTGTCCCTAACATTTACATTGGCTCCTTTATTCAAAAGCATTGCGGTTATGTTTCGAGTTCCCTTCTGAGCTGAGATATGGAGTGCTATTCTGCCATATTCATCTCTACGAGACAATATCAGTCCCAAATTTCAATGTAGTCTCAATAATTTCTTGATGACCTTCTTTATTACCCAAAAGAAGTGGTGCGTTGTGAAATTGAAATTCAGAATCAAATTTGGCATTGCATTCTAGCAATAGTTTTACAACTCCTGCATGGCCGTTTTTAGCTGCAAGGTGCAGTGCAGTGATTCCATTTTTTCCTGCAGCATTTACATTGGCTCCTTTATTCAAAATCATTGTGCTAATTTCTAGATTTCCGTCCTGGGCAGATATATGAAGTGGAGTGAAGCCACTTTTCAGGGCCAAGTTAACATTTGCATTGTATTCCAAAAGAACTTCAACAACTTTTGCATATCCTTTTTTAGTGGAAGAAAGAAGTGTTGTTTTACCATATTCAGTTTGAACGTCTACATGGGCGCCTTTACTTAGAAGGAGTTTGGCGATTTCTCCCTTAACGTTACTATCAGGCTCTTTATTATTGAAAGAAAAGTCTGAAAAATTATCAGAACATAGAGAAGGGAAATAATCTCGGACTCGGAAATAATCATGCTGACCCGAAGCAGTGAAATGCAATGCTGTTCTTCCGTAGTTATCACAAGCATTTATATCAGCATCATGTTGCAGAAGAGCTTCAACGATTTCTTTCTATTCTTTCCTAACAGCAATATACAGTAGCTCAGGATCATCTTTAACAATAGCTCCATAAGTTAAAAGTAGCTTGATCATTTTTAAATCAACATTTTTAGTAGCATAAAATATTGGCGTTTTTCCAGTTTCGTCTTAAGTATTTATTTTAGCTCCGTAGCTAATCAACAGTTTAGCTATTTCTTCCTGTTCATTTTTGGCTGCATTATGTAAAGGTGTTAAACGTTCTTTAGTTGAATTGTGTAACATATTAATCTCAATATCATACTTTAATATGTCTTCAACGACTTTCAAATATCCTTTTTCAATAGCAGCATATTATAATTCTGGATTATCAGTATGTATAGTAAAACAATATTCTAGGAGAGCCTCAACAATTGGACAAATGTCCATAACCTTTTTCTCTACAGCCGCGCACTGCGATTTTAAGAGAGTTCCTGTTACTTGCATTATTGACATCAGGACAATACTTCAAAACCTCTTCAACAATCAACAAAGAACCTATTTCAACAGCAAAGTGTAGTACGGATCTATCAGTGTCCTGATTGTAAACTATAGCTCCACATTCTAAGAGCAGTTTTATAACTGTTTTATGTCCATTCTCAATAGCAACATGAAGTGGGCTTAAATTATCCTTTGTGCTAGCATTAATATCAGCACCCCAATCCAGGAATAATTTCACAGCTTCTACAATACCTCGTTTAGAAGCAAAATAAAGTGGCGTATATCCTTTCGATGTTAATGAATTGATAGAAGCACCATCATAGTTTAGAAGATCTTTGGCAATATGTATATTGAAATTTTTTTTCGCTTTCGAAGCACAAATATGCAGAGGGGTCATACTACTTTCAAAGTAGTAACTTTCTCCTTTAACATCAACACTAGCACCTCTACTTAAAAGCGATGTGACAATTTCTGTATTATTAAATAATATTATATTGAGTTGCAGTGCTATACAAAAACCTTTGACACACACAACTAATAAAACAAATTTATTTATTATTTATATTGTTTTTTTGATAGGTTCCAGTTACAATTTAGTATTATCTATTTGATAATCGATTTTATGAGTTTTAGTCATAATATGTTTTAATTGCAAATCCAACAAACTATACATAGGTACCTTTTTTTTTTTGGACAATCCAGCGTGAACGATTTTTTGGAACGAGTTGAGGAACTGTGGCGGTCACGAGGCATTTCAAAAGAACAACTGCTGCGTGCTTGTCCTGAACTTTTCGCTGGTGATGCCCTGTTATGGTACCGGACATGCAACTTTTCTGATTGGGATGATCTCGTGAGTCAACTGAGAGAATCTTTTCAGCCGTATGATTACGAATTTGCATTGTGGGATGAAATTCCTCAACGAAAGCAAGGAGCTCAGGAACGTGTACTTAACTATGTCGTAGCAATAGAAAATCTTTCTCGAAAAGTTTTTGAGGTTCCATCAGAACGAACAAAACTTAATATCATACGTCGAAATTTGTTACCACTTATTCAAAGTCGTCTTGCTACCTATGAGATTTCGGATATTCAGGATTTAATTCGATTATGTAAAGCTGTAGAGGAAAAAGAATCCCGTGTACCGAGGTTTGTTCCGCCTCCTACTGATGTCCGAAAATTACTAGAACCCGAACTAGCCTATAAAAAACCCTCGTATCATGCTGCCGTCAGATGTTGGCTCTGAAAGTACGACTTCAGGTTTCGCTGACGATCCTCAAGTAGAAACTCTAATTGATTCTATTAACTCCAATAGGACTCTAACATGTTGGAACTGTGAAGGATCAGGTCACCGGTTTCGTCAATGCCAACAATCTAAAACTGTGTTTTGTTATAAATGTGGCAAAAAGCAAGTGACAACTAAATCTTGCCCACGTTGTTCAAAAAACTTGACTCTGGCAGGGAATTAGGCCGGATTTCTTGCCTCTCACCTGAAATGGTCAATACTCTTGGAACTACAGCCGTTCTCAATTACATTCTTGCTCATGTCGAAGGCGACGAACGTCCTTTCTTGAAAGTAAAAATATTCGGAAAGAATTATTGGGTTTGTTGGACAGTGGTGCCTCAAAAACCATCCTTGGTTCTTCTGGATGGGAAATTCTGAAATCAATTTGTAAATTGCTACCCTCTCCAATTACGAACTGCGTGGACGTGAACTAACCCATAACTCTAAGAGACCGCTCTATTCTTCTGGATTACCTTGTAGTACCTTTGGTTCCACACACTCCTATATTAGGAGTTGATTTCTCTAAACGAATGGATATTGTCCCAGATCTCAATATTCTCAATGCTGGTGAATGATGTTTTAAATCAGAGGCTCATTCAGCCATCCCACTTATGTCACTACAATCCTTTGATAACCTAAGTTCTGAGCAGCGCGATATACTTGATAGTCTATTGGACAGCATATTTTCAATGATGGAAAATAAACTAGGCTGTACAAACCTTGTTCAGTTAGTCATAAAAACTGAATCCCCACCTATCAAGCAACGATACTATCCCTTGTCTCCGGCGTTGTTAAAAACCGTACATAAGGAACTAGAGCAGATGATCGCAGATGACATTCTCGAACCTTCCAACTCTCCTTGGTCGTCACCGATCGTTATAGTGGAAAGAAAGTCTGGAAATTGGAGATTTTGCGTTGGTTATCGTAGCCTGAATCGTGTAACCATTCCAGATGCTCATCCGATCCCCTGTATCAGTGCGACACTCGACAAATTTCGAGATGCCAAATTTCTTAGCACGCTTGATATCAAGTCTGCATATTGGCAAATTCCTGTTGCCCCAGAATCACGTCCGCTAACTGCATTCACTATTCCATCACGTGAGCTATATCAATTTAACCCGGGAGTACACGCGTGCCGGTCAAAAGGACCAAATATTGATAAAATCAGTAATTACGCTACTAGTACAATGGTGACAGTTTTGTCCATCCAGGAATGCCTGATGCAGGTTTTCCACTACCCATTGGCCCAAAGATATTTTGGTTTTTGGTTGAAGAAGGGTTCGTTGTTTTCATAGTCGGTGCTTTTGACTAGGCGCGTGAACCTGAGTATCTGAAATATTTGTGTTCAAAATTGGAATTTTCTGATATTTTGAGTACTTTTGGCTATTGTACTATTGATTAGTAAACTTGCGTAGGTCATACCTTAGCGTTCAGGATAAGCTTGGGATCGTTTCCGCGAAAAACGCTAATAATTCACATAAACTTTTGGGCAGTCGGTCGATTTGTCTGAACGCGTGTAACGACGTAAGTGTACGGCCACACAGAACGCGTTTGAAGCGGCATTAACGCGCTTGGCGACTAAAGTGTTTGGAACGTCTTATGCTACTAGAATTAAAATAATGTAATATATAGCGAGTGGCCCGACAAGACGCTTCTTGCGTTTTGCGCTTCTTAAGCTATAGACGAAAAAGAATTTATATCGCAAATGAAAACAAATCAGTTTGTTTTTTGAGCGCGTTCAGCGTGCGTTCTTTGACGATTTATGCCTAGTTTTCTTTCATTTAGGTATTTGAAATGTCTTTTCAATATTTAAGTCAAAGGTTTCAATGGTTATTCTATAGTATTCAAAAAATTTATCAGGATGTTGCCACAACTGGAGAAAAAAGTATGAAATTCACCCTTTGTGGTTCTCTCTTGGTTCATGGACCCACTCAGAGAGTCTCATCACCATAATCTTATTCAAGATTTATGTTCTGGGTACGTCATATCTTTCGTAATTATCACTCCTCGACATACCTAAAGAAACTGCATAGTACAAACAAGCAACACGCAGCTTCTTTTCTTCTTTGGACACAACTCGCAAGAAAATCTTCGAACGCATAAAAAGCATATGAAGTAGACGCCAAAACGCATTCAATGCCGCTTGAATCGCTTTCTGTGTGGCCGTACACTAAGTTTTTTGGCGCGTGTAATGCCGGGTTAAACGTATGGCAACGGCTTATCGACAGAGTCGATGGAGTAGACCTCGAGAAGTAGGTTTTCGTCGATTTAGATGACGTAATAATATGCACATCGGCCTCTGACGAGCATATGCGAGTCTTAAGAGAAGTAATGAAGCGTAATTTCGACGCTCGTATTGAATCGTGAGAGATGCCAGATATGTAAGCCGGTGCTGAAGTATCTTGGATATGTAGTTAATTCTTCAGGTCTTTTGGTGGATCCTGGCAAAGTTGAGGCTATCCTTGAAATTCCCACTCCTACCACTGTTTCAGAGGTACGTCGGATTATTGGTATGGCATCATGGTATCGCAGATTTGTGCCTAATTTTTCTACCGTTATGTAACCATTGACAGCTCTTACCAGGAAACATGTAAAATTTGCATGGGATTCTGATTGTGAGAAGGCGTTGTTTCAAACAGTCAAAGAATATCTCATTAAAGCCTCGGTTCTTTCTTGTCCTGATTTTAATCTTCCCTTCTCCGTTCAATGCGACGCATTCGACTTTGGGTTGGGTGCCGTACTTTCTCAAAATCACGATGATGAAGAGCATGTAATTTGCTATCTAAGTAGATCCTTGACCAAAAATGGGCGAAAATATTCGACGACTGAAAAGGAATGTTTAGCCGTCCTTGTTCGCTAGTGAAAAGTTAAGACCCTACTTGGTAGGAACCAAGTTCACCGTAATTACAGACCATTACATCCTATAATGGCTTAACAGTATTAAAGACCCCGTATGTCTGGCAAGTGAAAAATTGAAGATCCCAAAATTTTCAGCCAGACTCAATTTCCACTATCTGAGTTAAGCCAAATTGCTATTTTCATATACTTTATGTTCTATTGTAGTAAATGTGAAATATTTATGTCTAGGAAAATAGGTGTACTTGTATTTTTCATTGATCTTGTGAACCCATCCAAAAATTCTTGTTTTGTATTACCAGGGGAACAAGCTATTTGATAGATACCAACTGGGAAAATAAGTGCTAAAAAATTTCACGTACAAGTTCTCACTAAACCAATGCACTGAAGTCTGTTCGTTTCTTGTTTCTTAATTCTTCATTGGCCTTTCTTGACGTAATCGCCACGATGGTGATGGTGACTCCGAGAAGTGTAGGTAAGTGGGACCTCGTGTCTAGTAATCTAGCATCTTATCCCTTTTGTCCTAAAGTTGATACCACAGGGCCAACAAAGACGCGTCGCTACGCCTACACTGACCTAAGCAAACCAACGACCAGACCATATTCGCCTGGATAAATAATCAAAGCGCCCCAACCAGAGCCATGGTGTATGTTTTGCCATGCCTGCCTTCAAGAATCCAGTGAGTTTCAACACCCCAGCTTACCCAGAGCACACTGTGCATTCAGTGCCCATTTGATAAGCTCAAAAAAACAATCTATTAAAAATTTTATAACCACTGTACATCTGGTAGATTGGAAAAAGCAACTTTCATTTAAACAGTCACTAAGGTCCAGCAGAGACCACTTGACATATTGTATCTACCCCTCGGTCTAGCCCTAAAATATATTTATTAGAAAATGTATTTGCTCGGACTTCAAAGGAAAATCTCGTGAAAATTCTTTTTGTGGAATTTTTTACTTATTCTCTTATTCTGCCTTTGGCTCATATCTGGATTGAAACTTTCCATTGTTTAATGAAGCTACAGTCTACAACTGTTGTCAATAAATATAATGAAAAGACCATGGATTTTATATCCACCTACTCAGCTTACTGTTTGTAAAGATTCTTTGTATGTATAATTGTTGAATTATTTATCTATTCTGCCTCTGGCTTATATCGGGATTGAAACTTTCCATTGCTGATGTAGCACGAAGCTACAGAGAGTAGTCGAACATATTGTAACTGTTGACCACAAATAAAATAACTCTCTAATCAGTGGCTGAAGCTCTAGAATAGTATATATTATAATTTAATTTATGATTTTTCTATATTTCTAATATTATCAGATTGTATACTTTACTCGCTTGTGGTAACTTGATTATTTAAACCTATTTTTGTTGTTACTCAATCTGATAAATATTTTCTTGAGATCTAGTATCATTACTATATATATCATCATATTCAAACAGTCACAAATGTCCAGAGGCTACTTGACATTCTGTCTACCCCTTGATACACCCATAAAAAATATTGATTAGACAATGTTTATGTCACACAAACCTCTTTTTTTATAAGTATAAACTAAAAAAATATAAACTGAAAAATCTCCTAAATACTCTTAGTGTGGAATTTTTTACTTATTCTACTCTTCTGCCTTTGGCTCATATCTGGATTAAATCTTTCCATTATCAATACAACCAAAACTTATTAAGTTGTTACTGAATCTTCGGAAAGGTTTCTTCCCCTTGTCCGCCCTCAAACTGGATCCGCATGCACAATCGACTCTAAAATCAAATATCGGTTTCGCCTTTAATGGTTGAAGGCTTTTCCAGCCTCCAAATTCCAAGGAAAATCTCGGTAATGATTTTTTGTGTGGAATTTGGTACTTATTCTCCTGTTCTGCCTTTGGCTCATATCTGGATTGAAACTTTCCATTGTTTAATAAAGCCACAGTCTACAACTAACTGTTGTCAATAAATATAATGAAATTCAAGTTAAAATTTTAATTTACGTTTTCTTACCAAGTATTTTATGTCCACCTACTCAACTTACTATTTGTAAAGATTCTTTGTATTTAGAATTTTTCAATTATTTATCTATTCTGCCTCTGGCTTATATCGGGATTGAAACTTTCCATTGCTGATGTAGCATGAAGCTACAGAGAGTAGTCCAACATATTATAACTGTTGACCACAAATAAAATAACTCTCTAATCAGTGACTGAAGCTCTAGAATACTATATATTAGAATTTAATTTATGATTTTTTTATATTTCTAATATTATCAGATTGTATACTTTACTCGCTTGTGTTAACGCGATTATTAACACCTAATTTTGTTGTTACTCAATCTGATAAATATTTTCTTAAGATTTAGTATCATTACTATGTATATCATTACATTCAAACAGTCACAAATGTCCAGAGGCTACTTGACATTGTGTCTACCTCTTGATTTACCCATAAAAATTATTGATTAGACAATATTTATATCACACAAACCTCTTTTTTATAAGTATAAAACTAAAAAAATATAAACTGAAAAAATCTCTTAAAGACTCTTCTGCCTCTGCATTTGCCTCAAATCTAGATTAAATCTTTCCATTGTCGATACAACCAAAACTTATTAAGTTATGACTGAATCTTCGGATCGGTTTCTTCCCCTTGCCGCCCTCAAGCAAACTGAATTCGCATGCACAATCGACTCTAAAATCAAATATCGGTTTCGCCTTTGATGAATGAAGGCTTCTCCAGCCTCCAACTTCAAAGGAAAATCTCGGTAATGATTCTTTGTGTGGAATTTGGTACTTATTCTCCTGTTCTGCTTTTGACTCATATCTGGATTGAAACTTTCCATTCGATGAAGCCACAGTTTACAACTGTTGTCAATAAATATAATGAAATTCAAGTTAAAATTTTAATTTTCTTTTTCTAAGCATGTATTTTATATCCACCTACTCAACTTACTATTTGTAAAGATTCTTTGTATCTAGAATTTTTCAATTATTTATCTATTCTGCCTCTGGCTTATATCGGAATTGAAACTTTCCATTGCTGATGGGACTAGCCGGAGTGCCGTATCATACTCGCTGTAGGTATGAAAACAACATTACTGATAATGCTGATCATACCAGCCATAACATCCCTGGCGTTTTGGATATTGTTATCAAAACCATTTACCCCCACAAGAATCCACTGGAAAAGCTGGACAACCGGACGATCAAGTTATACTCGAAAACGAGGAGATGTCTTTGAGAAGGAAATTTTTATCTTATTCCTGGTCTAATGAAATACATGATACCTATTGGTCTCATTTACCTATTTGAATATTTCATTAATCAGGACACATTTGAACTAATTGAGTTTCCTGACACTCCGATATCATTAAAATCCCAGAATAGATGGATGCAAGTTACATATCAAGTGGGAGTCTTTACAACACGATCGTCTGTTTCGATATGGCACATAAAACAAACATGGATACTGACGGTATTGCAGGGTATCAATGTGATAATTTTGACAACACAAGTAATTTACTATTACATACCAAACATAAAAAATTGCGCTTACATATCAGCTGGAACAATTTTGTTGGCTGACATTCTTCCGGCTCTACTCGTGAAACTGGTACTTCCTTTATTACAATCCGTAAGTTCGTAGTGAACACACGAGTAGCGATTTGCGTTGGTGTGACCACAGTCGGATATCTTATGGTCGGATTCAGCAAAAGTATTGATATATCAATATTTGGAGTTATACTAATCTCGTTTTGTTACGGTTTAGAAGAAGTTACTTATCTCTAGTACAGCGCTAATTATGAGAGAAGTGTTCTATCGGCATGGAGCTCCGGTTCAGATGGAGCCGGCCGGACTGCTGTAGCATGAATCTACAGAGAGTAGTCGAACATATTGTAACTGTTGACCACAAATAAAATAACTCTCTAATCAGTGGCTGAAGCTCTAGAATACTATATATTATATTTAATTTATGATTTTTTTATATTTCTAATATTATCAGATTGTATACTTCACTCGCTTATGTTAACTCAATTATTAAACCTATTTTTGTTGTTACTCAATCTGATAAATGATTTCTTGAGATCTAGTATCATTACTATGTATATCATTACATTTAAACAGTCACAAATGTCCAGAGGCTACTTGACATTGTGTCTACCTCTTGATGTACCCATAAAAAATATTGATTAGACAATGTTTATATCACACAAACCTCTTTTTTTTATAAGTATTAACTAAAAGAAAAAAAACTGAAAAAATCTCCTAAAGACTCTTAGTGTGGAATTTTTCACTTATTCTGCTCTATTCTGCCTTCGGCTCATATCTGGATTAAATCTTTTCCATTGTCGATACAACCAAAACTTATTAAGTTATGACTGAATCTTCGGAACGGTTTCTTCCCCTTGTCCGCCCTCAAACAAACTAGATCCGCATGCACAATCGACTCTAAAATCAAATATCGATGTCGCCTTTAATGGTTGAAGGCTTTTCCAGCCTCCAACTTCAAAGGAAAATCTCGGTAATGATTCTTTGTGTGGAATTTTGTACTCATTCTCCTGTTCCGCCTTTGGCTCATATCTGGATTGAAACTTTCCATTGTTCAATGAAGCCAAAGTCAACAACTGCTGTCAATAAATATAATGAAATTCAAGTTAAATTTTTAATTTACGTTTTCTAACCATGGATTTTATATCCACCTACTCAACTTACTGTTTGTAAAGATTCTTTGTATGTAGAATTTTTCAATTATTTATCGATTCTGCCTCTGGCTTATATCGGGATCAAAACTTTCCATTGCTGATGTAGCATGAAGCTACAGAGAGTATTCAAACATATTGTAACTGTTGACCACAAATAAAATAACTCTCTAATTAGTGGCTGAAGCTCTAGAATACTATATATTATATTTAATTTATTATTTTTTTTTATATTTCTAATATTTTCAGATTGTATACTTCACTCGCTTTTGTTAACTCGATTATTTGAACCTATTTTTGTTGTTACTCAATCTGATAAATATTTTCTTGAGATCTAGTATCATTACTATGTATATCATTACATTTAAACAGTCACAAATGTCCAGAGGCCACTTGACATTGTGTCTACCCCTTAATGTACCCATAAAAAATATTGATTAGACAATGTATATTTCATACAAACCTCTTTTTTTATAACCATAAACTAAAAAAAATAAAAACTGAAAAAAATCTCTTGAAGATTCTTAGTGTGGAATTTTTTACTATTTTCCTCTTCTGCCTTTGGCTCATATCTGGATTTAATCTTTCCATTGTCGATACAACCAAAACTTATTAAATTAGCATGACCAAGGATGACTGAATGTTCGGAACAGTTTCCAGTTCTTCCCCTTCACCGCTCTCAAACAAACTAGATCGGCAAGCACAATCGACTATAAAATCAAATTAGGTCTCGCCTTTAATGGTTGAAGGCTTCTCCAGCCTCTAACTTCAAAGGAAAATCTCGTAAAGATTCTTTGTGTGGAGTTTTTTACATATTTTCCTCTTCTGCCTTTGGCTCATAGCTGGATTAAATCTTCCCCTGGTCCGCCCTCAAACACACTAGCTCTGCAAGCACGGATTCTAAAATCGAATTAGGTTTCGCCTTTGATGGTTGAAAGTCGATCATCGTCTAATGAAGCTACAGTGTACAACTGTTGTCAATAAATGTAATGAAAATGGAGTAAAGTTTTAATTAACGTTCTCTTACCATAGATTTTATATCCACCTACTGAAATTACTATTTTTAAACATTTTGTGTGTGGAATTTTCTAATTATTTTCTATTCTGCCTCTGGCTCATATCAGGATTTAAACTTTCCATTGCTGATGAAATTACAAAGTAGTTCAACATGTAACTGCTGTCAATAAATATAATGAAAATCGAGTAAAATTTAAATTTACGTTTTCTAACCATGAATTTTATATCCTCCTACTCAAACAAAACTGATACAACCAAAACTTATTAGGTTACCATGACCAAGGATGACTGAATCTTCGAAACAGTTTTTCAGTTCTTCCCCTTGTCCACCCTCAAACAAACTAGATAGGCAAGCACAATTGACTCCAAAGTCAAATTAGGTTTCACCTTTAATGGTTGACGGCCTCTTCAGGCTCCAACTTCAAAGGAAAATCTCGTAAAGATTCTTTATGTGGAATTTTTTACATATTTTCCTCTTCTGCCTTTGGCTCATAGCTGGATTAAATCTTCCCCTGGTCCGCCCTCAAACAAACTAGCTCCACAAGCACGGATTCTAAAATCAAATTAGGTTTCGCTTTTGATGGTTGAAAGTCGATCATCGTCTAATGAAGCTACAATGTACAACTGTTGTCAATAAATATAATGAAAATGAAGTAAAGTTTTAATTAACATTTTCTTACCATGGATTTTATATCCACCTACTGAAATTACTATTTGTAAACACTTTGTGTGTGGAATTTTCTAATTATTTTCTATTCTGCCTCTGGCTCATATCAGGATTTGAACTTTCCATTGCTGATGAAACTACAAAGTAGTTCAACATGTAACTGCTGTCAATAAATTTAATGAAAATCAAGTAAAATTTAAATTTACGTTTTCTAACCATGGATTTTATATCCTCCTACTCAAACAAAACTGATACAACCAAAACTTATTAGGTTACCATGACCAAGGATGACTGAATCTTCGGAACAGTTTTTCAGTTCTTTTCCTTGTCTGCCGTCAAACAAACTAGATACGCGAGCCCAATCGACTCTAAAGTCAAATTAGGTTTCACCTTTAATGGTTGAAGGCTTCCCCAGGCTCCAACTTCAAAGGAAAATCTCCTAAAGATTCTCTGTGTGGAATTTTTTACATATGTTCCTCTTTTGCCATTGGCTCATAGCTGGATTAAATCTTCCCCTGGTCCGCCCTCAAATAAACTAGCTGCGCAAGCACGGATTCTAAAATCAAATTAGGTTTCGCCTTTGATGGTTGAAAGTCCATTGTCTAATGAAGCTACAGTGTACAACTGTTGTCAATAAATATAATGAAAATGGAGTAAAGTTTTAATTAACGTTCTCTTACCATGAATTTTATATCCACCCACTGAAATTACTATTTGTAAACATTTTGTGTGTGGAATTTTCTAATTATTTTCTATTCTGCCTCTGGCTCATATCAGGATTTAAACTTTCCATTGCTGATGAAACTACAAAGTAGTTTAACATGTAACTGTTGTCAATAAATATAATGAAAATCAAGTAAAATTTAAATGTACGTTTTCTAACCATGGATTATATATCCTCCTAGTCAAACAAAACTGATACAACCAAAACTTATTAAGTTACCATGACCAAGGATGACTGAATCTTCGAAACAATTTTTCAGTTCTTCCCCTTGTCCACCCTCAAACAAACTAGATACGCAGGCACAATCGACGCTAAAGTCAAATTAGGTTTCACCTTTAATCGTTGAAGGCTTCTTCAGGCTCCAACTTCAAAGGAAAATCTCGTAAAGATTCTTTGTGTGGAATTTTTTACATATTTCCTTCTTCTGCCTTTGGCTCATAGCTGGAATAAATCTTCTCCTGGTCCGCCCTCAAACAAACTAGCACCGCAAGCACGGATTCTAAAATCAAATTAGGTTTCGCCTTTGATGGTTGAAAGTCCATTGTCTAATGAAGCTACAGTGTACAACTGTTGTCAATAAATATAATGAAAATCAAGTAAAATCTGAATTTACATTTTCTAACCATGGATTTTATATCCTCCTACTCAAACAAAACTGATCCAACCAAAGCTTATTAGGTTACCATGACCAAGGATGACAGAATCTTCGAAACAGGTTTTCAGTTATTCCCCTTGTCCACCCTCAAACAAACTAGATACGCAAGCACAATCGACTCTTAAGTCAAATTAGGTTTCACCTTTAGTGGTTGAAGGCTTCTTCAGGCTCCAACTTCAAAGGAAAATCTCGTAAAGATTCTTTATGTGGAGTTTTTTACATATTTTCCTCTTCTGCCTTTGGCTCATAGCTGGATTAAATCTTCCCCTGGTCCGCCCTCAAACAAACTAGCTCCGCAAGCACGGATTCTAGAATCAAATTAGGTTTCGCCTTTAATGGTTGAAAGTCCATTGTCTAATGAAGCTACAGTGTAGAACTGTTGTCAATAAATATAATAAAAATGAAGTAAAGTTTTAATTTACATTTTCTTACCATGGGTTTTATATCCACCTACTGAAATTACTATTTGTAAACACTTTTTGTGTGGAATTTTCTAATTATTTTCTATTCTGCCTCAGTTAAACATGTAACTGTTGTCAATTGATATAATGAAAATCAAGTAAAATTTAAATTTACGTTTTCTAACCATGGATTTTATATCCTCCTACTCAAACAAAACTGATACAACCAAAACTTATTAAGTTACCATGACCAAGGATGACTGAATCTTCCAAACAGTTTTTCAGTTCTTCCCCTTGTCCACCCTCAAACAAACCAGATACGCAGGCACAATCGACGCTGAAGTCAAATTAGGTTTCACCTTTAATCGTTGAAGGCTTTTTCAGGCTCCAACTTCAAAGGAAAATCTCCTAAAGATTCTCTGTGTGGAATTTATAACATATTTTCCTCTTCTGCCTTTGGCTCATAGCTGGATTAAATCTTCCCCTGGTCCGCCCTCAAATAAACTAGCTCCGCAAGCGCGGATTCTAAAATCAAATTAGGTTGCGCCTTTGATGGTTGAAAGTCCATTGTCTAATGAAGCTACAGTGTACAACTGTTGTCAATAAATATAATGAAAATGGAGTAAAGTTTTAATTAACGTTCTCTTACCATGTATTTTATATCCACCCACTGAAATTACTATTTGTAAACATTTTGTGTGTGGAATTTTCTAATTATTTTCTATTCTGCCTCTGGCTCATATCAGGATTTGAACTTTCCATTGCTGATGAAACTACAAAGTAGTTCAACATGTAACTGCTGTCAAAAAATTTAATGAAAATCAAGTGAAATTTAAATTTACGTTTTCTAACCATGGATTTTATATCCTCCTACTCAAACAAAACTGATACAACCAAAACTTATTAGGTTACCATGACCAAGGATGACTGAATCTTCGAAACAGTTTTTCAGTTCTTCCCCTTATCCACCCTCAAACAAACTAGATATGCAAGCACAATCGACTCTAAAGTCAAATTAGGTTTCACCTTTAATGGTTGAACGCCTCTTCAGGCTCCAACTTCAAAGGAAAATCTCTTAAAGATTCTTTATGTGGAATTTTTTACATATTTTCCTCTTCTGCCTTTGGCTCATAGCTGGATTAAATCTTCCCCTGGTCCGCCCTCAAACAAACTAGCTCTGCAAGCACGGATTCTAAAATCAAATTAGGTTTCGCCTTTGATGGTTGAAAGTCCATTGTCTAATGAAGCTACAGTGTAGAACTGGTGTCAATAAATATAATTAAAATGAAGTAAAGTTTTAATTAACATTTTCTTACCATGGATTTTATATCCACCTACTGAAATTACTATTTGTAAACACTTTGTGTATGGAATTTTCTAATTATTTTCTATTCTGCCTTTGGCTCACCAGGATTTGAACTTTCCATTGCCGATGAAACTACAAAGTAGTTCAACATGTAACTGCTGTCAATAAATATAATGAAAATCAAGTAAAATTTAAATTTACGTTTTCTAACCATG